GTAAGACAAATCGGTATCAAAATCTTTGGGGAGTCTGGAAGGGAGTGCATGCACTGAACATTTCAGATCCTTATTCGGATTCAATTGTATGAGCAACGATAAGGTGTGTTATAAATGTGTTACAAGTGGAGGTCATGTCTCTTAACAGTAGAAACCTTACCCTTCACAGTTAATACAACATGAACTGAGTTGTATCTGATAACATGCAGAGTCAATCAACCGATGCTAAGAACAACCTCAGCCAGAAGTAAGGTGACTACCAGTGTAATGGAGGTTTGGCCACTGCGTAATACCACAATGCCCAAATGAGTTAGGCAGAGCAACCTACCTCATTTGCCACGTTCCATACCCACCAGGCAATCAGTGTTATGGCAGGGGACAAGCATGTATACGTTCCGGTACTCACAATTGGTCAGCATGAGAGCACTGTGGATGACGATGCAGTTCCAGACAGTTCTGAGTTCAAGGTCAACACCTCTCAGCTGTTAATGACGTCACCAGAATTTTCTCTGAACTCTGGTTCACTGCAGCAGTGAGGTGAGGAATCAGCTGAACTTTAGACAGGCAGGGTGTGTTTTCTGTCCTTTACAACAATGCCGTTAGCAAAAGCCGTACCGGGCAGGCGACCTTGACCGCCCAGCTCCACAACGAGTCAGCCGCTTTAAAGCAGGGATGTTATATTATTTGTTTATTTATGTAGTTTGTGTTTGTTTATAATTTGTTTAATTATATAAAACAAAACACAGAATACAGTAAATAAACAAAATATATAAACCATCCTGTCTTTAAAGGCCTGACTCGTTGTGAGCCTGGCGGTCAAAGGTCGAAAGTACGGCTTTGCGTAACGGCGCTGCTTGTAAAGGACAGAAAACACACCCTGCCCGCTCTCCTAAAGTTCAGCTGATTCCTCAACTCACTGCGCTGCCAGGTGAACCAGAGTTCAGAGCAAAATTTCCGTGACAGTCAATTAACACTGAGAGGTGTTGACCTTGAACTCAGAACTGTCTGGGGAACTGGCCACCTATCCACAAGCTGCTTCCTCATGCTGACCATTGAGTGAGTACGGGAACTTATAACATGCTTTCTTCCCCTGCCTAACCACTGAATTGCCGGTGGGTATGGGAAAAACAGTGCAAATGAGGTAGGCGTTTGCTCTGCCTACACCAGTGGGCCATTGTGTATTACGCGATGGCCCAAACTCATTTACACTGGTAGCACCTTACTTCTGGCTGAGCTTGCTTCTTAGCAATAGGTTGAATTGACTCTGCATGTTACAGCAACAACTCAGTCATTTCGTATAACTGTGAAGGCGTTAAGCGTTCTAACCTTATAAACGAGACATGCGCTTTCCATTGTAAACACATGTGTTATCACACACCTTATCTTACTCATACAATTTAGAATCCAATAAGGATCAAAGTTCACGTTGCTGCTCCCTTCCAGGACTCCCCTAAAGTTTTTGAATAACACATTTGGTCGTTACGGGGCTTTACAACTATACAGCCATACAATCTGGTCCTGAGACCCCTTTCAGCCAACCACAACAACAACAACAGGCATGCACTAAATCGAATTAAAACATATACAAAAATCAGCTGGATCTGCAAGGTTGACTACTTTCGAAGTTCTTGAACAGGTCTACAGCGATTTAGGTGGGTGCGAATACACAGTAGGAAGGTAGAATTCAAACAAATGAAAGCACCATTGTTTTGTTTCTCTGTAACAGAGTCCCAAAACCTGCTGAAAACCCCTTTAAAAGCCTGACTCGTGTGGAGCTAGCGGCGTCCAAGAGGTCGAAGTACGGCCTGTGCGCTAAGCGGCAATTTGTAAAGGACAGAAAGAACACACCTCTGCCTCTCTTTAAAGTTCAGCCTGATTTCTCACTCACCTGCTGCACGTGACCAGAGTGGAGCACAGATCTGTTCTGTTCAGAGAAAATTAATTTTACAGTCATCTTAACACTGAGAGGGTGAAATGGCGCAGCGCGAGGAAACTCAGATCAACCGCAAGAAAATAATTCTGCTGTAGGTCGTCTTGATCTACTGAAGCACCCGGTGACCATTCCCTGTGGACACAGCTACTGCATGGACTGTATTCAAAGCTCCTGGGACGGAAAGCTATACAGCTGCCCTGTGTGTAGAAAGAGCTTCACACCGAGGCCTGTCCTGCTGAAAAACACCATGTTAGCAGCTTTAGTGGAGAAGCTGAAGAAGACTGGACGCCAACCTGCTCCTGCTGATCACGGCTACGCTGGAGCTGAAGATGTCTACACTGGGAGGAAACTGAGAGCCTGTAAGTCCTGTCTGCAGTGTCTGATCTCTTACTGTGAGAAACACCTCCAGCCTCACTATGAATCTCCTGCCTTTCAGGGGACTGAAGTGGATGTTTTACTGCCACAACCAGAGCCCAGGACCAGAGCTGGATTCTTAAAATATTCACGTGAAATCACTCTGGATCTAAACACAGCACACATACAACTGTTAATATCTGAGGGGAACCGAAAAGCAACACTCACGGAACAACAACAGTGTTATTCTAGTCATCCAGACAGATTCGCTGTATGGTCTCAGGTCCTGAGTAGAGAGAGTCTGACTGGACGTTGTTACTGGGAGGTGGAGCGGAGAGGGGGAAGAGTTTCTGTAGCAGTCGCATACAAGAATATCAGCAGAGCAGGGTGGGGAAGTGGATTCGGATTCAATGACAAATCTTGGGCGTTAGAGTGTAACCAAAACAGTTATACATTTAGTTACAACAGTATCGACACTCCCGTCTCAGGTCCTCGGTCCTCCAGAGTAGGAGTGTACCTGGATCACAGAGCAGGTATTCTGTCCTTCTACAGCGTCTCTGAAACCATGACTCTCCTCCACAGAGTCCAGACCAAATTCACTCAGCCGCTACATGCTGGACTTTTGCTTTATTATGAAACCACAGCTGAGTTGTGTAAACAGAAATAGCCCGAAGTCATTTGAGGAACTCTTCTACTTCTTCAACTCATTGTGTATCACACCCAGTTTCTGCATAACTAGTCCTTAGCTGCCACCTCTCAGTGAATCTACAGAATCATTCAGCATCAACGTCCGTCCTCTGAGATGCTTTGAGGACGTGATGAGAGAGAAGTGGACCATTATCTCACTGAAAGGGACTGAAGTGGGTATTTTACTGCCAGAACCAGAGCCCAGGACCAGAGCTGGATTCTTAAAATATTCACGTGAAACCGGAGTTTACCTGGATCACAATGCAGGTGTTCTGTCTTTCTACAGCATCACTGACACCATGACCCTCCTCTACAGAGTTCAGACCATCTTCACTGAGCCGCTGCATGCTAGACTTTGGATTTATTTATTTTCTGGATAAAAATGCTGAGTTCTGTAAACTCATCTAGACAGAAGTGAATCACTGGGTTCTCAGACTTTTTCCTTAAAGATTGTGTTCTTTTTAACCAAATCTCTCTCAGAGGGGCGTGGTCAGCAGCAGCTCATTAGCATTTAAAGCTAAACACAGAATCAGCACTTTTGAAACAGGGCTGAAACAGAGGGGATTATGGGATGCTACAATGACTTTTGCCAAACACTTAGGAGACTTATATCTGAGACCTGTGATATATTGTTGAAAAAGATAATAATAATAAGGACCTTTTTTATCATCAAGTGAACTAACACTGCTGGCTGATTGTTGTGGTGTTTCTCAGCTGTCAATCAAACGCTAGGGGCGGTACCTCTATAGTTGTTGAGTAAGTGTTTGACTTTCTTTAGCTGTGTGTGTGTGTTTCTCTGCAGGAACTCTTCTCTGCGTCCACATGTCGGAGGAAGATTTGTATTCATGTGTTTCTTTGCTGCTGTTTCTCTTCCACTGCAGGGCTCTGCAGAGAGGAAGCAGACCTCCTTTATCCTGCACACCTTGTTCTCTGATCATTTGTAAAGACGTCTATAACGTCGCAAACTGAAAACACATAAATTTCAACTGTACCTTGGCAATTAAGTTATTGCTGAAAAAAAAAACGAAGCACTTGTTGAGTTAATTTAGGCCTTGTAACTGATTCACCAGCACTTATTAAGGTATGATCTTGATTGAAGTGAATATATCTGCACTTTCCTTTTTGTTCGGAGTCGATTCTTTATGGTTTTTGCCCTTATTGTAAGTCGCTTTGGATAAAAGTGTCAGCTAAATGATATTTAGGCTAATAATAATAATATGTAATAACCACATGTGTTTGTTATTGTATGTATTTTAGAGGTGTACTTATCCTGATCATAATCAATAAGGAGAGGATTGATGATCTCAGTGTGGATGAAATCAATGAAGAGACTTTCCTGATGTGTGAAAAAACTGATGAATAAACTGACATCAATAACGTGTTTTTATTATGATATTTATTCCCAAAGCCTGTGGAAAAAACTAATATGAGAGGTAATAATAAATAATACAAGGCATTATAATAAAAAATACAATAAAGAGAGAAATAAAAAATACATAAATAAACAAATAATAATAATAAATACAAAAATGTATAATACAAATCAAATAAAGAAATAAATCAAAATGACATGGATAAACTCATAATAACAAAAAACTACAACAAATTATAATAAAACGTACAATAAAACGTACAATAAATGAAAAATAAATTAAATAAATTAAATAAATTAAATAAATTAAATAAATTAAATATATAAAATAAAATAAATGAAATAGATACTAACAATTATATACAAAAAAAAACAGTTGTATTAAAACAAATAATAATAATAATAATAATAGAATAATTATAATATTTGAAAACAATATATTTAATAAAAACAGCGCTAAAGACTTTCCAATTAAAGTAGATTTTTTTATTTTGCATTGTTTATGTTTTTCAGTGGTAATTCCCTTCTCGACCGCTAGGGGGCAGTCGCTCCCATGTGTCCCATTATATCTCCGTCACCACGCGGCTTGATGACGTCTCTTCTCCAGCCAACATGGTGAAGAAACAACGTGGGGAAACATCTTCGTCTCTAAAGATGGAGAAACACTCGGATAACTTAAATTTGATACTTGAGTCCAGCGACGATGAGGCTCCAGAAGAAGTGACGTTTGAAGACTCAAAGGCTCAGGCTCTGAAGAGCATGAAGCTCGCGCTGGAGTCCGCGAGGAGGTAACCAAACTCCATCTGAAAAACAGACTTTTCATGTTTTTTATTCATAATAGTCCGGAAAAGTCTCCAAAACAAATATATTATCACCTATTCTGATTTATTAGGACACATTTTACAGGTCTGCGGTCATATTTAGCTCTTTATAAATACATGTGTGAACCAGAAGGTTAAGAACCAGCCAAACTCCATTAAAATATCCCAGATTTTTAAGGTTTTTCGTGATAAAAGTCAGGAAAAATGAACCAAATCAAATCATTTATTACATATTCTGGTTTATTTGGACACACACTATAATTCGGCTTTCATATTTAGCACTGATCAACTCTTTATATATGTGTATTTGACAGAGTTGGGAAGTAACTAGGTACATTAATAACTCCGGAAGGTAAAGAACCAGCCAAACTGCATCCAAAATAATCTCACTTTTAAGGTTTTTTTCGTAATAGTAGTCAGAAAAAAATCTCCAAAACAAATCATCACATATTCTAATTTATTTGGACACATTTGACACTTTGATCAGCCCTTTATGTGTGTGTTTGTTTCACAAATGCACACCGCTACCATAATGTGTAGGTTTTAGGAAGACAGAAAATACTATTTAGTTTTTTTTTAGTGAAGCTCTATTTTGGGATAATTTGAATGCAGATATGAACAGAACCCACTCAAAAGTCGAGTTGAGACATTTACATGTGTGTGTTGGAGCAAGATTCACCATATTTGACAGTTTGTTGAATGGAGTTTGGTTTGACAATTCGTCCAGAGAGAACAGACCAATATTAAACCAGGATAACAGAACATATTAGATAACATAATGTGGTTGCATTTCTCTGTTTGCAGGGACAAAGAGCTGCTGAAAGAGAAGAGGAAGAAGAGACAGGAATTATTCCAGGAACAGAAGGTACGTGTGTTTTAAAATGTCCGTTAAAACCCTTTCACAGACTCGATGGTTACTGTTATTGATTTTATAAAGACAGTTCTTGTCTAAATGTGTTTTTTAGTAGACATTAGAATAGCCTTGGCCTTTACATTAACAGCATTCAGATTTCAGGCACTAGGAAACTTATTTTGGGAAATAATTAATATACCATGGCAGTTATTAATAAATCCCTGTTTTTCAAATTGTCATATGTACAGCAACAGAAAATAACATTACCCATGTGGTTGTAATGTGCAATGAAATAATCATTCTGCTGTTTCCCCCAGAAAAGGAAGCTCTTACCGGCCGCCGTGTTGGAGGAGATCGACTCAAAGTGAGTTTACCGGTCTGATTGAATTCTGCAGCTTCTTCATTTCAACCCGTTTCTCCTCCGTCGCTAACATCTGCTCTACTTCACAGGAAGCAGAAACCGTCTGAAGGCGAAGGTGAGGAAGATTTTCAGGATTCAGGATTGACTCTGACACAGCTTAGACTTTCTCAGGAACGTCTTGAGGGAATTTCCTTAAATCTGTCAGAAATGTCCAATTAGACTCAACGATGGACTGCTTTAAATGTGGGGGGGTTCTAATCACACCTCTCCGCCTCCTCACTAAGGCCAACGTTTCACCCCTTCCTGAGTTTCCCCAAATCACTCTTTGCAGTGGCTAAAATCCCATGAGATTATTTTGTAACTCCTTATTCCTGAATGTTCCTTTGTTGGCCACGTGGAGAGCTTGGGAGAGTGTATCAGTGGGTAAAACATCCATTGGTCGTTTTGATTTATTGATCTTGAACATTTATTGCCAAAAACCGTAATCAAAATACGAAAACAACATCAAAATGGAGCTTAAACTTTAATCTGTTGACCGAGGTTCAAATGCATTAATAAAAGTGAAGTAGATCAAAACAAAATCAGCTTAAATGTGGCTCCTATAGAGCGGTGCAGTGACGCGTCCTAAAACCCGGAAGGAAGCTGCTGGTTCCCTCGACAAAAAAGCAACGGGATTTCTCCATAGGATTTTAGAAAAGAGCTGGAAATAAGGTCTGTGGAAACCTGTTTGATAAATGCATGTTTTGTTCAGCCGGATAATCTCCACATGTCTACCCTACTTTCATAATGTTCGAATCATAAATCTAATGTCCAGAAGCTAAATGCTAACGTTATGCTATAAAGGAACTACAGCCGAGTCCAGCAGCACGACTTCAACGTCACGCCAACTTCAGATCCATATTCAAACACACAGATTCTAGATGGAACGAGTTGAAGCGTTTGTTTGAACAGTCTGCAGGAGGCAGGGACTTGCTTTTAAGCAGAACAGAAACTAACTTAGAGGAGTGTTTACGTGTTCGGCGTAATGACGTACAACGGCCTCCACGACTTCTGTAGTCCTAGTCCACTTGGTAACAACCATCGTTTTTCAGACACGTCAACTCTTCAGAAATCACCAGTGGGGTCACTGCTGATGGATTTGATGTCGTAAAACAAAACGTGATATGCCTCTTCAATGTGTCTCAACCACAGACCTTATTTCCAGATGTTTTCCAAAATCCTATGGAGAGATCCCATTGGCTCTGAGACGAGGGAACAGGAAGTGGAGAAATGCTAACTCACTTCCTGGTTTAGGACTCGTCACTGCACCGCTCTTTACTCCTGATCCAGGACTCTTTACTACACACATTAGTGCTGAGTTAGGATCTTTCTGAGTGTTTTCTGACTGTTTGTGAAAGAAACTTCTGATCTGTGTGACTCTTTGTTCCTCCAGCTGAAGACGAGCAGCAGGAAGAAGGAGGAGAGGAGAAGGAGACGAAGAAGAGGAGGAAGAAGAGTGGGAAACTTGATAATGCCAGAAAGTACGTAAATCTGTTTTCATGGACTTGCTGGATGACTTGAACTCTTAGCTGATCATCAAAGTAGCTTAAACGAAGGGTTAACTCTCCAGATGTTTTTAGGGAAAAGGTTTCTGATTGCTCTGATCAAACTGTTTCCTGTGTGTCCGTCTGAAGGGGAGCAATCCGGCCGTAACTTTGCTAGTTCAAGATTCTCCAATTTGAGTTTTAGCTTCCCTTTTTTGTCCTAGAAGCTGGTAATTGAATATATTTGGGGTTAGGAACTGTTGGAGTTTTGCGGTTGATCAAAATTATAATTTTTGAAGACATGACTCTGGGATGAGGTTCATTTTATAACGTGTTTCTGCTGCACTACATTGAAGGGCCCTTTTAGTTAATCAAGAAAACTATGTTAGTTACAGAACAAGTTAAAACATTTCCTCTGCTGTTGGAAAATATATACACTTAATTAGTTGTTACTCCTAATGTTTAGGGCTGCCCTCGACTACAGATTTTTCTAGTCGACCAATATTTGTCAATTTAGGCGATTAGTCGACTGGTCGTTGCATGTGGGAGGCTGTGGCTAAGTGGGTAGTGTACTGGACTTCGGATCAGGGGGTCACAGGTTCAAACCCCACTGCAGTCAGCATGTCGTTGTGTCCCTGAGACACTTCAACCCAAAGTGCTCCTGTGGGGATTGTCCACAGTACTGTAAGTCGCTTTGGATCAAAGTGTCTAACAAGTGACATGTAATATTTATGATATATTAATTATGATAAATATTATTTAAATGGTTTCAGTTCCAGGGCTGAGATAGAACGTTATTAGAAACAGCACGCTACGTTGATACATATAAAACTGTAATAATGAGTCTTTGAAAAATACATTTAATTTTACACACAGAAATGTAAATGTAATATATACTTTTTTTTTTCTCCAACTAAACGACTAATTAAGAATTGCTCTACTTTATTATTTGACTAGCGATAAGTGGACTATGAGGGGGCAACCCTACTTATGTTGCATTAAAAGGAATAAGAAACCTCTCTAAATGTTAGGTATAAGAGGAAGCTTTGTCTAATGACTGTTTATTGAAACGGTTTCAGTCTGAAGGGGAAGTACACGGTGCAGACGGTGAAGCACGGAGCGTCCGAGGCCTCTCAGCGTCAGCAAGCTGAGGACTTCCTGCAGAGCAGACTCTACGGAGCGGGGAGCTGCCGGACCACAAGTGAGTGAGGGGGGG